CGTCCCCCGTCCGTCCCCCTGCCCCATAGCAGATGAGTATCCAGTGCTTTTATGTACCTGGCTCCAAGTACTTCACGCTGTCAGTCTTCCACAAACCTGTTAAGTAGATAGATACTGTTTCCAGTTTAGGGTTTGGCCTCCAGCCAGCCAGGAGCTAGTCGGATGAGCCCGGAGTTCTTCTTTTCGTTCTTCCTTTCACGAAGTGTTGTGCAGATTCAAGCATCAGGGTCCGGACTCTCAATCTTTGGTTCCTTTTCCTTGTTTGTCTTGCTGTAATAATTAAAGCAGGTGCTACAGGCTCTTGATCTCTCTTCTTGTCTCTCTGCTACTCGGTGTGGACCGCAGCGGGCCTTGCACACGTCAAGTTTTTACTTTAGGCTGAGCCGCACTCAGCCCTCTCGCCCTTAAAAGATAGATAAATAGATTGATTGACAGCTTGATTTCATGCAACTTCATTTTTTAAGTCTATTTAGCTTCGATTAAAATTTGTTGCTTGGTGTCTTCATTTTTATCTCTGAGGACACATTATAATACTCCGTTTAGGTGCTCTGTGTCTTCCCAAAGCTCCCGCAGAAGATGATTTCTGTCGTAATTAACCTAGTCACCAAGGTGAAACACTCAGCCATCCTGTCTCCTAGTATTACCCCAATCCCAAACATGAAATCTTTTATCCAGTTTTCCTGTGATCTCTGCTTGCCTACATCAGTCTCAGCCTGCCCCCTACCCCATCTGATCTTCACTAGATCCCCTCCTTCACACTCTGAGCACACATTTATCACTTATCATTGACACATTTCTTTTCTTGTATTTGTTTTGAAGGAAGGTCTCATGTATCCCAGGGTGGCCTCAAACTCATTAGGAAGCATAGGATGACCTTGAACTTCGGATCCTCCGGCCTCTACCTCTGGATTGCTGTGATTATAGGAATGTGTCACCACTTCCGGTATTATTCGGTGCTAGAGAGGGAACCCAGGGCTTTATGCAAGCTGGATAAGCGTTCTACCAACTGGGCCACAGTCCCCAGCCAGTACACATTTCAACTACTGTTTATCTTCTTTTGTAAGTGTGTTTGCTTTCTGTGAGGAGATCTGTAACAACTTAGGACATTACACTGTCAGACCTTATGTCTAGTAGTTGCTTAATAGATGTTTATAGAATACAATGCAACATGAACTAAGGTAGCATGGAAGCAGCAGCCTTGATGATAGTAGAAATCAAGCCAGTCTTACAGGATACTCATCAGTGTGCATTGGTAGGTGTGTATTGCCACACTAAGGTTCTAGTCGTCCTGATTAATCATTACATCTCCTGATGTGATGTAGGAGCCAACCGTATGGGAACCAAAACAAAATTGGAAACAACAGTGAGTTTTCCTAAAATAATTTTTTTTTAAATTGGAAATACATAGCGCATACATAAAAGTACACAAAACATCAGTGAACAGATGAAGCGGTGGCTATATTTAGTAGTAGTATCTTATTCTGTTAGAACGTATGATATTGGAGGAGACTGCAGTCGGGACAAACAGGAATCTTTTCCCAAAACATGTGGGTCTGATCTAAGCTGGAGAGGCCAGGCCAACAAAGAATGGGCTGTGTGCGTGGTAAGTGGTAAGGTTTGAGGTGAGGAGAAAAAACTGAAGGTGCTCCTAAAGCCACAGCACCATCAGACGTGAACGGTGACCCTGGGAGAAAGGAGAGAGCCCAAGAAGCAGGAGTTTTCCTCATGTCATTGCTGGTTTTCTATGACGTACCTCTTGTGCCAGCATCAATTTTAAGACAGAGAAGGATTCTATTTAGAGCCACTGCGAACACGGTAGCATAGCAAATGGAGAAGCAATCTGGAACTTAAGGATTCCTGTCCTGTGCTATGGAATGTGCCATCAGCAGATCTTCAGAGGGGAATGGTTCTCACGTGTGTTTATGTGACTCATTCAGTTTGAACACTTAGAACTTACTGGAAAGTTGAAAATGTCTACAAATTTGGCGGATAAAAGATAGATCTTCTAAAGACAGCTATGGTGACACATACCTGCATGCCCAACTTTTGGGAGGTGGAGGCAGCTGGATCAGAAGTTCAAGATCATCTTTAGCTACATAGTAAGTTTGGGCTAGCTTGGGCTAGATGGGATCCTGTTCAAGAAAACTTTTTTTTTTTTTGATCTTCTAAAAAAGTGAAATTTCCAACTATTCTTCATAACTGGTATAGGTTGATTAAAAGCACATATTAACACACTGGATTAAGGGAAGTAGCCTTTTTTTTCTAAATACAAATCAAATCACCTTTAAAAAAAAGAGATTTATTTATTTATTATGTACACATAGAGTGTTCTGCTTATGTGACAGAAGAGGGCACCAGATCTCATTAGGGATGGTTGTGAGCCACCATGTGGTTGCTGAGAACTGAACTCAGGACCTCTGGAAGAGCAGCCAGTGCTCTGAACCTCTGAGCCATCTCTCCAGCCCTGGAAGTAGTCTTTTATAAGTGATGGAAGCAGACATACCATCACACACTGTTCTTCAGTATTATGCGGATGAAACATTTCCACTAAGAACAATAAATGCCCGTGGGGATTAGGAAAGGGAAACTTGTGTACACTGCTTTGAGGGAATGTAAAAACTGGTATACCTACTTTGGAAGTCAGTGAAGGGGCCCTTAAAAATCTAAAAGAACAAAAAACTACCATATGATCCAGCTGTACTATCCCCGGGCATGTAAGTGAAAGATTCCAAGTCAGTTTCCATAGAGATGCTTTCATATTGACATGTTTATCATCATCAATGTGGACCATGAGGAGGGGAGGGGAAGGGCTCAGGGAGGAGAGGGGGCAGGAAGAGAGGGTGATGACATACATGTGACAAGGGAGCAGAAGGGGAGAGTCGGGGAGGAAGAGAAGAAGTTAGAGTGAAGAAGGGTGCATATGGCTTTTCCATGGGTCTGGGGATTCAAACTGAGGTCCTCACACCTGCAGAGCAAGTGTTTTCTTTATCTGCTGTACTTGCACATTAACTTAAAAGGTTAGTAAAAACGAAACAGATTTCCACGTAACTCCCAAGTTTCCCAGGTTAACAGCAAACCCACCTGGAAAGCAATATATAACACGATCATACATAACACAACACAGGCTCCTTCCTTTTCATGAAAGGCGTAGGGTCAAACCTGGACAAAATAGTGGTGTTTCACAAGTTACGTTCTGAGAAAACATTTGGCTTCATGTCAGCAGAGTGGCTGGCCGGATGATGGAGCCTGTCCAGGGTGGTGTAGGTTGGTGGGACAATGTAGTAAACTACTATCATACACAGATGGGGTAGGGCAGGTAAAACAGAGACAGACCTGAGAGCTCTCTGGAGCTCAGAGAAGCAGAGTTGGGCAACTGAGAAATGGGTGATGTATGGGACATGAAATCCAGGGAAAGAAAATGCAGTTCTAAGAATTGGAAATTGTGTGTGTGTGTGTGTGTGTGTGTGTGTGTGTGTGTGTGTGTGTGTGTTAGTAGAATATTTTAAGGTGTGTTACTTTTGTTTATGTTGCATTTGTTGAACTCTGTGAAGCTGTGTTACTGTGCCTGTGTAAAACACTTGATGGTCTAATAAAGAACTGGCCAATAGCGAGGGAGGAGAAAGGATAGGTGGGGCTGGCAGGCAGAGAGAATATATAGAAGGAAAAACTGGGTGGAGAGATCTAAGATCTAGCAGCCAGAGAAGGAGGAGGACTCCAGGGGCCAGCCACCCACCTACACAGCAAGCCATGGAGAAAGAGTAAGAGTCACAGAAGTAAGAGAAAAGGAAAAGCCCAGAGGCAAAAGGTAGATGGGAGAAGTTAGGGAAAGCTGGCAAGAAACTAAGTCAAGCTATGGCCGGGCATACATAATTAAGAATAAGCCTCCGTGTGTGATTTATTTGGGAGCTGGGTGGCGGACCCCACAAAAGACCAAAGACCAACCAACAGTGTGTGTGTGTGTGTGTGTGTGTGTGTGTGTGTGTGTGTGTGTGGTGTGCATGTGGCCAGAGGTTGGTATGGGTTGTCTTTCTCAGTGTCATCCACTGGAAATACTTTTGCATAGCTACAAAAGAGGGCATGAAATGGGGTTGCCCAGGAAAGCAGGGGTGGTGAGGTGTGCCGAGTGCCTTGTTTTGACCTACTGAAGATTGTTTTATTTTGTCCTATAGTCAGGGATAGGGGGATGGGGAGCTGGAAGCAGGGAAGGAGAGGGTCCTATGAAGATTGTGTTTGTAACTCAACTGTCTGATGTTTGACACTTTGGCATTGTGAACCACTCCTATACAGGTTCTGT